GAGAGAGCGAGAGAGCGAGAGAGCGAGAGAGCGAGAGCTCAGCCGCGGCGAAAAGATCTCAAGTAAATTCTTCGTTCTGACCGCCAGCTGTCACGGGTTTTGGGGAGTGATTGAAGGACTGAGTTCACAGACACGAGCAGCCACGTTGAGTTCTCTCGGCACGCTGGACCCACTCACATGTGGGTGAGGGGGTCTGTGATTCAAGAGGGCTTCAGGGTTGAGCTGCTGCTGTGGCTGCCACTCACTGAAAGAGCCAGCTGAAGTGGATCAGGCACCTGGTAGAGATGTCCTCCAAAGAATGAATGGATGGAGGTCGCAGTCATGTATCCACATGAATCGTAATTAGATTTAACTTCAGTCACTTATCATATAAGACAAAGCAGAACATCTTCACATTAGACCAAATGGAACCAGAACGTTTTTTTTCCTCAATTATTAAAATTGTTGCATTTAGATTATTTTGATAACTCGACTAATCAATTGATCAGCTTAGCTTTTCATCTCCACCTATTAGCAGGACTGATTCCTAGTCCTAAAACCATGACACATCTGGTTATTTTAACAATGTATTTCCCATAAAATTGTTCACACTATGCAGAGATATATAAAATTACACATACTGTGATATAGGATTTTATCCATCATTTACAGTTAAGTGATGCTAAAGACACAGATGTTTGGCCAGGCAGAGCCACCGTTACAAGACTGTAAACATGACAAATGTATTAAATCATTGACAATAACATTTGGACATTGGTGTTAACGGTTAGTGTTAAAACTGTTTATATGATATTTGACATACATTGCAGATCAATTAACTAATGCTTTATATTTTATCAGACAAAATACTCCATGTTTAACTGTTTTTTTGTTTCCCTAAAATATGGCCTATCACTTTCAAAACACCTGAAGGTGTTGCATATTAAGCAAGCTTCAACTGTATTTAGTTCAAAATAAATGATCATGAGAGAACGCTCCTGGCCGGGTTGCGAGTGCCAGTATGGATTCTAGGTGGCGCTTGAGTGGACATGAAAAGTTTAGATTTAATAGGACTGAAGACGCAGATGAATCCGGTGCACCTTGCATGGCTAACATACAGATCAGATGCATTATTACAGTTGTAAGTGCAGAGCAAACTGTGTGCCATCTGTGCCTGTTCTTTGAGGAGCTATACCTTTATCATGATAGTGTCTGCTGCGTCTGTCACCGTAAAGTCTTCATCCATGAAATAATTGTAGAAATAAACATTTACCTTTCGTGATTCACTTTACAGATTTTTCACCAACAAAAGAAAAATAAAGAAGTGTGAAAGCTGCATTCTTTGATCAGGAACATAGAGTGGTTTCCCAAAACTCACTACAACAAACATTCTATATCAACTTATCATCGTGAAATGTGTTCAGACTGAACACAAAGCTAAATTTCAAAAAGGGACTGAAAGCATGCGATGGAAAGAATCAAACAGACTTAGATCTATGGAGCACAAATTGATGTTAAATCAGGTGTGCAGAGTTTAAAGTGTTTCTCATTGAGCTGTGTGACTCCGCTCCTCGAATGCACAGAGACCAGAATGAAACCGAGAGGGGTCAGAGCAGACAGAATTGGAGTTCTTGATAAGTTTTGAGATCAGTCTGCGCTGCACCAACCATATCGCCCGACAAGAGCGTCCATCTACCATTCTGCAAAAAACCCACAATAGGTTCAGTGACAAGGTCTTTTTGTCATCGAATGCCAATGCTTCAAAAATTCTCGCGTTCTGCAACATCTGTGCATGGTAGCTATAGGTTTGGTGAATAAACGTGGTTAAAATAGAAAGCCAAACGTAAATGGAACATTGCTACATGTGAACAAACTCTACTTTCCGCCTCGCTACATATTCGGCAAACTGCTTCCTGCATTGGCACTAAACATTAGCTCTGGAATCACAGAATCGTCCAATATGGACATAATTTCGAGGTGGGTTGAAGGAGGCACAGTCTGCACGGTTAACCAACAGCTGCAGCTCACCTCGGTAGTCGGAACTCGTACTGTGGTGATTACAGACGGCAAAAAAAAAAACCCTCTGCAGCCATCAAATTTGCATGAAGATGAAAGTGAACTTTGTGTTAAATTTTAACACACCTTAATGGCAGAAACAGGCGACATGAGAATCCCATTTGAGTCTACTTTGTCACCACGGGCAGAAGTCCAATATTCCTTCAGCTCTTACCTCTTATTTGATCTGGCAGCTGCAGAGGAAACATCTGAGTCTCTTTTGCTTGCTGAATGTTTTTACTGTCCTCACCAGCCACTCTACTGCCTTAGAGATAGCGTTTCTGCACAAACTCCGTGGCTGGGAGCTGCTGTCCGTGGGTTTAGAAGGGCTGAATCCAGGTTCAATTGCCCTCCGTTTGGGGATGTTTGTGCATTGGTCTGCGTTGGCAGTTCAGTGCAGTTTGGGCTCTTCACTATTCGGCCTCTTTGGAGGCCTTCAGTCGTCTCATTTTGCTTTGAACAATGACACGTGGACGTGGTGATTATCAGAGCCCTTTTAAAGCTGGCACTGACTGCTAATTAGCATTCAAGGTAATGTAATACAACCTCCACATTTGTCCATTTGTATTGTGTGGTGTAAAGCATGTAGCTACTTCAAAGTACTTTCATGTGGAGTCTCCATTTATTTCGACTCCCGCTGTCCCCATTAAATCCTGGATGATGTGGAAAGTTCAGTCAAACACCAACCAACTGTCAATCAAGAAAATCATCGCGACGCTTAATCCCCCTGAATCCATCAAGATCTTTTTACCTTTCAGACAAATGGTTCGCAAGAAGGACATGGCTGCTGGCACAACCGTTCACCTGGAACAACAAGGAATTGTAGTCCTGTAAAGTATGTCGCCCCACCCACGATGCCTATTTTCTTCGTACACCCATACCAACCTGATTCCCTTCCATAGTTGTGAGCACAGTGTTCCCTCGGCTAATTGCATCGAGCGTCTCATTTTCTTACAAAGACGATGGGAAATTGAGAGGCTTGTTGAAAAGGATTCCGAGCTTTCGGCATGTAGAGTGATTTGCAGAGTTTCTAAAAATCAAAGCAGGCGAGTTCCCCCGTCAGTGCGGCTCAAATGGAAACACGCGTGGAAACAACAGACTTGATTATGCAGGCTGAAGAGGCAATGAGACGGAGGTGCTCCCATCAGCACTCCTGACTTCATGTAGGGAGTTACTCCTCTCCTCCGCGTGCCACTGCCTCGCCCTCACCAGGCTATGAGCTATGAAAAGATGGCGAGTTCGTTATAGAATGTAACTGTGATCACGTTCCTGTTGGAGGCTTCGTTTCACTGCAAAAATGTTGCATTTTTAGTGGTGTCCGAAACTGGGATGCCACATGACAACGTAGTGGTTACTCGCTCTACGGAGCTCGGGATTTGCTGGATCAAATGTTATGTTTGTGAACTTCACATGGCAATTATGATTTGTGGACATTAGATAATACTGTGTTTTGCTTGAATTTGGTTTAGTTGGCTTTTCGTCGCTGATAAATAAAGGAGGCAGTGAAATGCAAATTGTTATTACATTTCCCATTAGTTCCTCCTTTTATCAGCCAGCACAGGCTTTTCTTTTCTTTGGGAGCCATAATGATCCGTATAGGAAATTATAGAGGACAATGGTTCTAGTGCAACAACTGCTTAAAATATGTAGTAGATGTTTAAAGAAAAATTGTGTAGCTCAAGGTCTACTTAGCTTTGGTTTCTAGGGCTTTCAACCATATCATGTGATCATCAGGAGATACATTACATTACATTACAGTCATTTAGGGGACGCTTTTATCCAAAGCGACTTACAATAAGTGTATTCAACATCGGTATTCAAGAGAACTACTATCACCAGAAGTCATAAGTGCATCCCTTTTTTTACACAAGCATCTAAGAGCATAAACCAGAGTCACAGTACAGTGCAGAAACAAACTAATATGAATACAATAAGTGCTGAGTGGAAGGCTCAGGGTAGGCCTTCTTGAAGAGGTGAGTTTTCAGCCTGCGCTGAAAGATGGGCAGTGACTCTGCTGTCCTGACGTCAGTGGGGAGTTCATTCCACCACTGGGGGGCCAGGACAGAAAACAGCCGTCACCGGGTCGGTCGGCCGTAGGGACCTCTGAGCGACGGGGCAACCAATCGCCCCGATACAGTTTCCTTAGTTGTCACAGAAGTGTAGATGTTCAAACTTTACATTATTCTGAGCTCTTTTGTGACTTCTCATCCACGTTGGCTTAAAAATTAAGATTGACAATTTATTCAATAATCGGCGATTTGAACAATATTGTTATTTATAGTATTTCTGATGTTATTTGGTATTATATTGGGTATTGAACAGGTGAATTCTATTAATGAGATGCCACTTTTTCTCAGCTTATTTGTCCTTATTTCCAGGGACTCTGGTTGATATGGAGGATCATCAGAAGAAGGCATATTCTGAGCATTCCTATTCTCATCACAAAAATGCTCTATTAACAGTAAACTGCAGTGAACGGGGTCCTATTCAAACAGCAAACAAAACAAAAGTTGTAAAAAGTGTGAAAATCTGATCTTCTCCCTTTTTGTCTTTCTGAGAAAATCCGTTAAGGTGTAATCACTGTTTTCTGCTCTTTTGGAGAGGAACATGCAAAAAGAATATTCCTTTGGCCTGGTTGGCACATTTGGACTGTGTGAAAACTGGCTTGCATCACTTGTTGTGTTTTGGCGCCTTAATGACTAAAATAATTTGGTTCCTTACACTGTTCGTTTGTTGTGAACTGGTGGCTTTTAGACACTGAAGTGTTTTGAAGTTAAATCAGCTCTTTGAATAATTCAAGAAGAGGGTTCCCTTGCAAAGGGAAATTGTATCTGATCAATTTACTGCAGAATGAGTTGCAAAAAAACAAAGTCACAGAGATGGTATCTATCTTATATGTATCTATCTTATGTGTACCTTTTTTCTATCTGTTACAGTAAAGCTGGAGTTCCTAGAAATCGTTCCTGCTTTTAGGTTTTAATCAACACTCTCAGTTTCCCTCTATTAGCTGCTGCTGCGACTCAGGAGGAGGAAATTTAACTCTTCCTCGGTTCTATCACCAAATTAAAGTCAGATTTAAAGCCAACCGATGTTGGAGCGCCGGCAGCCTGATTTAATTTGAACGGCTGTATAAATTCATTGTTAGAGACGTGGCTGTTTTGTGACGTATTGATTTGAAATCCTAGGAATCTTTCTGAGAAGATTTTCTCATCTCAGAATCGATGGCAATTTAATTGGCTAGAAGCTCTCACGGCTCTAATTACAAACTTGAACAGACGAATGGAGCTCTCAGAGTTCCAACGTAGACTCAGCAGGAAAGGAATTAGGCTCTGAGTTATCTCCTTAATAAGTCTTTTTATTTCTTTAAATACAATAGCTTAAAGCAGGTCGTTCTGTTTAGCCCTGCCTGCGTACGGCAGCTTTAAGATAGCCTGAGGTTTAACATTCATTTAAAAATAATTGATTGCTGTTTGTGTCATTGCCTAAAAGAATATAATTCTTCTCTTTCTATTCTTACAGTCCATATCAACGTCTCTGCTGGCAGCTCAGGTAAAGGCTCACAGGTAAGGAAAACAGCTGACACGTGATTATTTATTTCTTGTGTGGAGATTAGTCTGAACCTTTGCACTTTTGCTTGTTTCTTGATAATTAGGTTTAATCATTCATCACCTCCATTAAAGCCTTAATTACCCGGCCAGCTGAAATTAACATCCGTCTTTTTTATTTTTTTATGGATGGATTATTGTATCCGCTAGATCGGAGGCTTAAATTCCTCCACGATACAAATCCATGTGCTCTTTCCTTAAGTGCGAGATGATTTTCTGCAGTTGCATTCTCTAAGTCTGCTGCTCGATAAATAATTAACATGTTCAGTTGCTCTACTTCTCATTGGGTGTGAGAGGATGTTGACAGTAAGTCGCTCGGCAGAGGTGCTTAGCATCACAGAAATGGGAAATTACTGTCTTGCTTCTAACTGATGTCGACCGCTTCTCTCCCTGGAGAGGTTTCACACTTGTGCTTTGTCGCTTTTTCATTTTTCACATACAGTTGTAAATGATGTCACGCAGTATTTAAACATCCAGTGTAATCTAAGTGAAAATATACAAAAAACACGAAGAAAAGTTTGCTGAAGTCTGTAGTCTTCTCTAAAAAAAAGTGAGTCACATTTTTAGTTTGCCTTTTAATTAAGTCATAGCTCAGTCTCGCACAATCTCAAGTTTTTTTTGTTTTTTTTCCCCCCTAGAACGATTAGGGGACAGCTGCCTGTCAAGAGTGATAAAGCAAAGATTTAAATGGCATCCATTCCGGAGAAGAAACCCATTAAAGGAAAGAAAAGAGCAGTGCTTTTGCAACAATGGAAATAAGGATTAAAAGTAAATGTAATGTGCTGGGGAAAATTAGGCATTATAAAAGCTGAGAAACTGTGTTATGGAGTTAATGTTTGCCTAAACTCTTACTTTATATCTAGACATAAATGTCAAAAGCATCAGAAGAGCATCTCTCTCTGTCCTCACCTCCCGTCTTGACCCGGACATGTGACTGCTTCTGTTTTTGTCGAGCTCATGGGTGGTGTTGCCTAGTTACCACGAGACCACGGCGGTAGTTTGTCACCTTCACTCTCCCAACATGCCCCGTGAATGCATATTAATACCACTATTCTGACAGGTGTTTCCAAGACGAAGAGTAGGGCCACAATGTGTTTTACTCTTCCTGTCGGGACATTTGTTGTATTTAGTAAAACTGGTGCAGAGCCCGTTCCAAAGATGGCCGCTCAGAACGGGCCAAATGCTCGGCCTGTGCCGATGCTGCTCCTCGAGAATCACTCGTACAAACAATTTCACACTCGACTGATGCTTCCTTTGGTCCTCGGCAATACACCTGCCGTGACATAGTTGCATCACACATAGGAAACAACGGTGAAATAGGTCTGCAGCCTAGTTCACCGGGAAAAAACACCTGGGGCTGACTTTACTGCAACCTGTGTCTGGGGCCCCCAACTAAAAGGGCCCCTAACAGCTTAAGATGTATTACAATGTTTATTTCACTTTTCTAACTCGTTGTACCCCGAAATAATCCGCAAAAGCACTCAAACCATGCAACTCAGCTGTATGGTAATCTACATTCATGTGTCAGGGAACTGTTACCGGTTACAGATACCATTAAAACATAATGCGTTATTATTCCTTAAAGAGCAGTTCTCCAGATATGAACAAACATACAGACGGACCGATTTGAGATTCTTTATAGTTGGTGTGTTTTTCTCATCAAGCCCACCTGCACAGTGGAAACCAGGTTGTTGCTCCCTTTTTTGGTCTCCTGAGCCAAAGAACAACGTGAACAAATTAGAGAGGAATACAAATTTGTAGGTCATGGAAGCGCTCCACTTAAGTCATGGAAAGTCGTGGCGGGAGGCCGGGGAAGTCATTTACATACGGTACACAACATTTTGCAACACATGCTTATGAATTAGTAGAGTATAAAAGTTAACACGCTTGATTTATTATTTCAAAAGTAAACCAGTTGCCCAATAGAGAAATGAATGATTGCTTTTCGGACATAGGATTATTCACTTCCTAACATGTTCTAAGACATCATGCTGGCCTACACATAGTATTCTACACATGTTTTAATGATTTACAACAAATCAGTCACTCTTATGTTATTTCCACCTGGGGTGTGCAACATGACGTTAGTTTAGCTGTCTGTTTTGGGCCGTTGGTGGTTACAAACAGGTTCGGTAATTAACGACGCGCTAACATGATGACAGTTTTCAATGTTTTTCTATTTTTAGCTGAGCGATGCCAGAGCAGTGATGCTGGTTTGCCCTCAATGTTCTCTGTGAAGTTTGCTGGCAGTGATCAAGCAACGTCGCCTCAGCGTGTTTTATGTGGAGTGAGCGCTGCGCCAGACTACGTTTAAGAAATAGCCTTTTAATTGCTACATTGTTTGTCAGCAGCCAGCCATGTGGTTACTTTGGAGGCAATTTGGCCCTGTTAATGGCATGCAGTAAACACACCAGTCATCATTTTGTTATATTGAAAACTCAACTCCCGGCGTTTGCTCCTGGTGTTCTTCACTACTGGAGTAACAGTTTAACCAGCTTTAAAAGTATTTTCTTACTATTTAAGTGCTTTGATTTAATTAATGCCGATGTGAAGGGTGGTTCATGTGGATTTTGAAAAGTAACTGATAAACTTTAAAGTGTTACATTTGAGAACAGAATTTGGTGTGGCGTTTTGTAACCTTGTATGGCTGTATAGTTTTTTAAATGGGGAAATTGGTTACACTGTTGAGTAACTTGCAATATAGTCTTAAAAACCAACATAAATAAGTGTGATGATAAGATTGTGGATCTTAATCCTGCCTGAAAATAAATAGTTATGTTATATTAATGCTATATCCACCTATATTTTCCAAAAGTATAGATTTCTTTAATGCACATTTCCTATCTTTCGGTCGGCCACTTTAAACAATATGAATAACAACTTGCAGTAACCCGACAGTTTCGCCAGTCTTGCATATAAACGTCATTACTGTTGAACAGTTGCAAATAGTAGCGGTGGAAGTAATTTGATCGTTTGAATAAACCATTAATAATCATGAAGTATATCGTTTATCTGGCTCCTGAGAAGCTGAGATTTTAGTGTGCTTTGGAAAATGGTTAACAAGTTAAGATGCAGTGCATTCATTGCATATTAAACCACCAACGTATGCTTTTAAGGTACTGTTTAGGTTATCAGCTTATGTGAAGTGTTTTTTTTGGGCCAGTGGTCGGTACAGAAGATCTGTCTCTGAATACGAGAGGATTCCCCATCTGACTTCAAACAGCCAGGCTCAGCAGGATTAAAAGCCGGCTAAATCTGCAGCGGCTCCTGAAGTGTGTGTGTGATATGGGTAACACTGATCTCAGAATGCAAAGTAGCAACCGGTAGTATTACACTTCCAACTACATGCTCGTAGAATAAATAAAAACATTTCCAGTGTGATTCTGCAACCCGTGGCTTATTGTTTGCTCCCTTACCGTGGAGGAAGAGATGCTCATCTGTTTCACTTTGCAGGCAGGATTTGAAAAGTTGCTCTGCTTTGATCCATATACTGTAGTTGCTGAACATCGCTACAAAAGCCTTACGATATGTAAAGCAGGGAACATGGTTGCAGCAGTAAACATTAAAGTGTCGTTTTCAGTGTCTTTGAACACAGTCCATGACTTGCATACAGAACACGTTTTTAGCACCCCTCCTCCTCCTTTGAAGACAGCCTGGAGCCTGTGATGACTGGCATCAGTTTGAACTTAGAATGACTTGGAGGAGTTGGCGAAGGCGAGCAAAGGTACCGTGATTATCTGCCGCTTCAGGCCTTCATAAACGGGCTAAACAACATGCGTACTACAAGTCGGGTATTTCAAGCAGAAGTGCCTTAATCTCATGCACTCAGAGGACTCAGAGCAGTGAGAGGATGCACAAAGAAATTATTCACGAACCTCCTGCTGAGGGCAAAGCCAATGAACAGCTCTTCAACTTGTTAATGTTCCTGTCACTTTTGCCGACATTCGTGTCTTCATAAGACACATGAGGACACTTTTGAAAGTAACTGCACGGCCCAAGCAGGAACCATTATTCTGAAAGGGGTGACTTTGCCTTCAGGCTTGTTCCTAGATGTTTGTAAAAGCCACAACCAGTCATACGACGTACACAAGAACACGAGTAGTACAGCAGAAGTAATCTAAAGTGCTAATCTTTGTGAGTCATTCATTTTTCATGTGTTTTCCAGGCTAACTAGTGGCTTCACAAGCTTACATAATACAAACATTTTCTTAGGTTCTGTGCAGGAAGTCAACAGCACATTTACTAGAATTCCAAATAATGACAAAATTACACTAAATAGTGTAAACCTGTAACCCTCATAGGAGCCGTACGCACTTCTTGTTTGCCACCTTTTGTCTTTTGAAGAGATCTTCATCTCTCCGTGTAGACTGCACTCGATCTTAAGTGCCATTCAGTTGATGACATGATGACCAACGACCTGTTCAGTTAAACTCATCGGGGCTGATTGGACAGCAACATCTTCTCTGTTATTTGCAGGTTGTTCTGCTTTCTTCCAAACATCTTTTTGGAAAGATTAACGTTGAAACTGTCATCAGCGGTTTTCTTATCCTCCAGCATCTCCTTACCTTAGGCAGCAAATAAACTCAAGATGTGATGTGTGACTGATGTATGAATCATTGCCTCAACTCCGCTGCAATGACCTTATCTCAGAAGATTTCTTTTTCTTTTTTTTTTATGATTACAAATCTGCATGAGTACTGCCAATGTGCACCTAGAAATGCCATTGCAATTGGACAAAACCTGTGGTTATCATCAGTTCTCCAGGTTGTACACACACACACCTGCATCCATTAAACATCTTTTTCTGAAACCATTTTGTTGGGACGAAACCTGTGGTACTTGTGAATTTGGCAAATTTAGTTTTCTGTCTGTCAGGTCCATTCTTGTGATCTCAGGAACACCTTGAGCAAATTTCTTCAAATTTGGCACAGACGCCCACTGGCACTGCAGGTTAACCT